TAGTACCATACATCTAGATGTCTTTAACTAGAGACATGACTACCATCTTTTGCCGTTGCCAGTGGTGGTGGTGACCGGGATGGTATTGACGGCAACCGGATGGGTGGTAGTACGATTGCAAAACTGGGAGAGATGAGAACCAAAATGGCAAGAAGGACGAAGAAGAAGAAGAAGGGAAATGGTGAAGCCATGATGTCATGAGCTTTGTGATTGTGTTTGGCGCAGGGAAGGAGCAGAGTGAGATTGGTTTATATAGGCTTTGGCTAACTAGCCCATGCTATAACAAGGCCATTTGTTACATCATCACATTAATTATTGTATTTCGTATGTTACTGTATATATAAAATATTCAGTGGGGTTCAGCAAACAAACATATATTCTAAAATCTGTGTGTGTGTGACCATTCCAATAACTCTAGGGTTATGAATTAGTGCCCATGTTTGAATGGGTTCGTGTTACCCAAAAATTTCGTGGTCCTAAAAGCATTATAGTACGGTGTTAGTTCACATGCCACGCATCTGGATTAGACAAAGTTACTATTTAACGGGTTAGTTTGGATTAGCAGTAAAAAAAAAAAGTTTATTTTCAATTTGATTTTTAAAAAAATGAAATTAGGTAATGTGATTTATGTTTAGATTGACTGTCATAAAAGTTAGTTTGTAAAAATTGAATTAGGTAAAAGTTGTTTGAATTATAATTGAATAAATAAGTTTAGCTTGTAAAATTATCAAAATAGGTATGACTTTTATTAAAATAAAAAATAAAAAAATAAAGTCACATAATTTAAAAAATTTAAATTATTTTAATAGAAAGAAGTGAAATTTAAGACCTAAGTATATTTTAAAAAATCAGAAATATTATATAAAAAAAATTTGTACCCAATCATGCTTAACAGTTTCACCAAAAGTAAGTTTCCTCTGCTTATGCCTAATCGTGCTTCTGATGTTACTTTTTGCCTATGAGTAAAATTAATGAAAAGCTCAACCAAACATGTTTTAAATTTGTAATCATGCTTATCAGACTTACAAGCCGCTTTTGGCCTCTTGAACGCCTAGCCAAACAGGCTCAACATTCAGCTAAGATGACTAGATGACACTGTTTGGAATGGAATCAGCTTCGGTCCCCTTTGGATCATCCAAATTTAATCTGGATACTCCATATTTAATATTTTTAATTAATTATTTTTAAATAAAAAATATACTTTTAAAAAAGTAATAATTAGGATGTGACCTTTATTTTAGATTTTATAGCCATTAAAATAATTATTTTAAGAAACAAAAATAAAAAAATTTTGACCATTCAGATTTGATCTAGACAGCACAGAAGAGATGAGTTTTGAATGTTTATTTCTAAGATGTTTACCACCCAAACCAGTCCTGCTTCGAATATATGCTTATAATAATTCAAGAAATTTTTATTGAGACAAGGACATCCATTCCGAAAATGGAAAATTACATTGAACAAATCACGTCTAAGGATAGCAATGGAATCGTAGGGTGGCCTCTAACAAATATCAAACCTTGCTACATTCAAATACCAAAAGTTTCCATGGCCTCTGGCATAACAATCAAATTACAATAACGTTATTGTTCTATATGAAAATAAATAATTGCTTATATGCATCAAATTCACATATTTAAAATACATAATGTTTGACTAAGTAAATATATTTTTAAAAGCATGAGCATAAGAGTAGAAAATATGTTACTCCCTTGTGTCATTACAAAAAATCAGCTAATTACTAACGGAATTAGCGACGGAAATAATTCTGTGGCTAATTTCTAACGGATTACTGGAAAAAATTCTGTCACTAAATTTAGCTATGGAATTAGTGACAATTTTTTTCATCAGAAATTTTCGTGACTAAAATTTTATAATCAAAATTATTCACAGAATTTTAAAGTCATAAATTTCTGTGATTAATTTTGTGGCTGAAATTTTATAATTAAAATTTAGCCAAGGAATTAGCCACAGAATTTTTTCCGTCAAAAAATTCCGTGGCTAAAATTTTATAATTAAAATTATTTAATTTTTTTATATAGAATAATCTATTAGATTTATTATGGTAGCTATTTTTTAAAAAAATAATTTACGATTTAGAATTCAAAAATTCAAAATTAGTGTCATTGGAAATTAATATTATATTAAAAATATTTTTTAAAAAATAAATCATTATAAAATAAATAGTAAAACAAATATCTAAAAATTATTTCATCATAAAAGTAGTTATGATTAAAATTATCATATAGTTTATTTTTAGTTCTAATAATATATATATGTGTGTATATATACTTGTTTGTGTAAGAGAATACTATATATATTTAATATTGTATAATAAGTCAATTAGTTCATTATAGCTCAACTGGTAAAGCCGCGTGTGCGCACAAATGAGGTCCTTGGTTTGAGCAATGGAGAAGTCACTTTGAAGAGGAATTATATGGTAGCGACATGTGGAGATGAGGTGGGGACACATGGTAGGAGAAGTCACTTTAGAGAGGAATTATATGGTAGTAACAGGTGGAGATGAGGTGGCGACACATGGCAGAGGAAGTGAGATGGCAATTGGTAGAGGTGACACGTGACATTTTAATTTTTTTAAAAATATATTAATTACTGACGGAATTAGTGACAGAAATTAACCGTCGCTAATTCTGTCGGTAATTAGAGACAAAAAATTCTATCAGTAATTAGAGACGGAAAAATTCCGTCGGTAATTAGCCACGAAATTGAAATTCTGTGGCTAATTCCGTTAGTAATTAGTGACGGAATTGATTCTATTGCTAATATGATTCCGTCGCTAAATAAAAATTCTCTAGTTAGATTCCGTCGCTAATCATATGTTTTTTGGTAGTGCGATCCTTTCTATAATATTTAAATTTTTGAATTGATCCGGTTCCTATTATAAGATTCACTACTATATATATATGATTGAAACTTTTGTTCAAATTCTTCTTTCCAAAGGGGTATCCTGCTGGCAGTTTGGGACAAGATCAATAATGGATGAATGCATTTGATAGAGTTGAGATGATAACAAAATGTCATATATAATTCATAACGATTCTGCTAAAACCGAAAACTTTAGTTCATTCATGAAGGATTCATGGAAAGAACAAAAATTTGAGCCGCCCATAAATAATGGATGAAAAATTAGGCCTAAAGAATCCAAGCAAATGAACAAAAATTTTATCCATTCATAAATATTGCTAAAAATTGAGTAAGCGGCTGACAACAGTTGAAGTGGTGTTGAATGAAACTTTAATTCATTCATGAAGGATTCACAAAAAGAAAAAAGAGAGCTCTTCAACAAAACTAAGCAGAATGTCCATCTGAATGAAGTTGTTCAAACTTTCTTAACTCTAAAAGCAAAATACACCACAAAACATGAAATACACACACACAGTTACTATCCAAAGCAAGCTGTTACAATTATTAAATATACCAACTCCATATAGCGAAGAAGTGTCATAAGAGCTATCCACCAATTCATATGACAATTTTGAAAGTGGATAGTTTTTGCTTAATTGCAAGCAACTATGCCAAAACATCTCTGATATCCATTCTTTCACCAGGCAATCCTGCACAGCATGCCACACCAATCCCAGCAAAGCTAGCTAGAGACTCTTGAATTTGGCGTTCCATGTTTGAATTCCGCATAACGTTCCTATGATCTCTATCAGATAGAACAAGCAAATTTGGATCCACAATCTCAAGGACTCCATCCGGTAATGCTAGCTTGCAGAATTCGGGTAGACTTAGATCCTCACGAAACGTTTCATCTGTTGGCTTCTTTCCAGTGAGCATCTCTAGCATAAGAATCCCATAGCTGTAGATGTCCCCTTTTGTTGTAACTTGGCCACTTTCGCCGTACTCTAACCAAGCATTAATATTCTTTAGAGAATATAAAAGTCCATGTAATAGTTGAAGTAATTTTTAGGTAAAAATAGACCTTTTCAAAACTTTTCACTGATATACCAAATTTTTAGTTAGTCTTGAAGTTTAGCACACTCAGGATGTAGTTTCTATTAATTAATGATTACTAGAAAATAAATAGGTTCATATTGGAGAATATAAAAACAGCAACATATGAAGAGTCAAACTTCGAGGAATATAGCCTATTGTTCCCTTAATTGCTGAAGATGTAGTTTGGTTCTCACCAGAGCAGCTTGTAATTTCACGAAGAAGCCTAGCCAATCCAAAGTCTCCTAAGTGTGCGACCATATCATCACTAGGAAGAACATTACTTGGCTTGATATCGCAATGAACAATAGGTTCCTCAAAACCATGATGAAGATAATCCAAGGCATGAGCCACATCAATGGCTGCATCCAATCTTTGTCTAAAATTCATATATAAATCTCTACGTTCACCAAGTTCATTTGCTGATAACCAATTCTCCAAGCTCCCGTTAGGCATGAACTGAAATACAAGGGCCTTAAAATCATTGCCTTTGTAATCAACACTAGAACATGTAGTCAGAATCTTCAAAAGATTCCTATGACGAACTTTACTAAGAGTTTTGCATTATGTTATGAAACTTTTTGTTGCCCCATGTGCTTGCAAATTTAACACCTTTACAGCAATAAAACTTTCAAAGTGCTGAAGAGTTCCTTTATATACAGAACCAAAGCTTCCTACACCAACCAAATTGGATGATGAAAATCCATTAGTTGCATTATGCAGCTCGTTATAAGTAATACTCAAACGAGCATTTTTGGTGGGGAAGACGTGGAACAGGAGAACTTTTTATGTTTGCTTCTCTTGCAAATGATTAAGCAAATTGCAAAACAAGTAAGAGCACCACCGCTTATCACAATGATAAGGATTATAACATTCTTCTGTATCAGGAGCTCAGTTCCAAGTTTACCAGCCAATTTCAATATAGGTTTTCGCGATTGGTGACACTAATATTTCCTAAATGTTAGAGATTGCAATATACAAAATTTTTAAGCCAGTATATTTAGTCCACAAATAGTAAAATTATAAACTGAAAAAAAATGACACTACTCATCACTTACTTGGACAAACAAATCTGTATGTGTTTTTCCATCATATAGAACTAGCTCAGTTCTTGCACCCACCTTCGTTAGAGCATCGGCAAACTTTTTACTGGAAAGCGTAAACAGTGTACTTATCAAAATCCGAAAGCGATAAATAAAGCCACTAACAGTTGTATGAGAAAATAAATAAATAAAGCCACGGACAGTTTGACCAAAATAAGTAATAGTTTAGCAAGATTAAATATAGAATTTAAGCTTCCATATAAAGAATATAACATTTGGTGTTTTGACCAGAGGCATATCAGATATAATAGAAAGTGGGGGGCAAAAAAGCAACCGGAAGTGCCACTGAAGTTACTTACTGTAATGATATTAAGAGTTAGTGAGGCTTTATAATAGCACAAATGATATATTGTAAGAATATCCTCAAGATACTTCAAAATTTTCCTTCAACAAAGCCGTAATATAATAAATGCTTTAAACACAGAATTTCTAAGGCTACATATTAACCTGGATTCTGATGGTATGGAACGATCATCACTTCCATGAAACAGAATAATGGGAGGCAAGAGAAGAATGGCATCTTTAAAGCTCGAGTCCAGAACTTTGACTTCTGGGGAAAACTTTCTCAACGATTGTTCACCTTCCATAATGCTGCAATGAAACTCAGTCTTGTAAGGAAGCAACACCAACAATTTTTTTTTAAAAAAATTTTCAGGCTTTTTATGGGGTGGAGAGGGTAGGGCAAGCATGAGGGGGCAAAACCAGGTAACCACTATTAACAATTTTTAGGGAAGAAACCTTAGAAAAGTGGAACGATATAAGCCACGTTGATGAAAGTGATCCACTAAATCCAATAAGTTGTACCTGCAAACATATAATAAGGTTAATAGAGGTGCACTTGATCATGTATAAACTAATTGATCAATGAGCACAAGCAGAGCATATTTATTTATTGCCATGCTTTCTCCACACCACCAAACATGCAACCACATTCTTGCTGCAAAGTCGGAAACTGTGGTTACATATATAGCAGCCTTGAAACTCTGGCCAAAATTATTCTTCTTTGAAACAGAAGAATTGGACTTCAGAGCATGGAAAGGCTCCTGTCATAGGTTTTGATTCCGTAGAAGAAGACGATGACAGAAATGTGCTACGGTGGGTGAAAACTCCAGCATGTACTCACCAACACTAAGATTGATTTTCCCAAAGTAGAAGGCGAGGATCCTAAGGCGTGGATTCTCAAGGCAGAGAAATATTTTAAGTACTATGAAACTCCAGATGATTTAAAGGTTGATGTGGAATCAATGCATCATGAAGGAGATGCGTTAGATCTCTTTGCATGGCTAGATTCTGGTCGTATAGTCTTGTACTGGGAGGAGTTGTTTCAAGCACTAGCAAACCTTTATGGCCCAATGGAATATCAAAATCCTGATGAGTTCTTACTGGTATAAAGCAAACTGGTACTTCACAAGAATGCTGTCAGAAATTTGTAAAAATGTTAAAGTGCAAATTTATCCTAGAATTTTTTACCCAGGGGCGCTGAGTACTAGGAAGTTTTTTTTAGGTGCAAATTTACCCCAGAAGTTTAAATTGGTTGCAGTTTTGCCCTTTGCTGTTAAAAAAACTAACGTTGACTGTTAGAATAGTAATATTAACTGTTAACATTTTTTCCTTAACGATAAGGGGCAAAATGGCTATGAATTTAAACTTTCAAGACAAATTTGCACCTAAAAGAACTTCTTGGTGCCCAGCACTCCTGAGTAAAAACTTCTGAGATAAATTTGTATCTTAACTCTGTGTAAAAAGATTTGCTAGAGTAAAAAACTGGACAGAGCATGTTTATTAGGAGTTTTCCTTAGTAGCTTGAAGAAGGAACAGAAGTCTGATGTTGGAATTTGAAAGCCACGTATCATTTAGGAATTTGAAAGTCTGAGGTCATAGCCCAGAATGCCTGTGCACCTAAAGTCTCATTTCTCTATTGTCATATGTTTGGGTACACTAGAAAAAAACATGCTTTTAGCGATAGAATTTAGCGATGGAATTTTTTATTTAGCGACGGAATTAGTGACGGATTAGCAACGGAACGAATTAGCAACGGAATTGAAATTCCGTCGCTAACTCGATTTTTTAAAAAATAAAATGAAATGACACGTGGCACCTTTACCAATTGCCACGTCATCACTGGGACCACCTCCACTTGTCGCTGCCACATCACCTCCGCCCCGCGTGTCACACCTCTGCTTGCCACATGTGCACCATATGTCACCACTCACATAATTCCCTTCTCAAAGTGACTTCTCCATGACTTGAACCCAGGATCTCCTCCGTGCGCACGTGTCACAACTGGTAAAGCCGCACATACGCACGGAGGAGGTCTTGGGTTCAAGCTATGGAGAAGTAACTTTGAGAAGGGAATTATGTGGTGATGACACGTGGCGCACACGTGGCAGGCAGAGGTGTGACACGTGGCGCACGCGTGGCAGTAGATGTGAGGTGGCAACGACACGTGGAGGTGGTCTCAGTGATGACGTGGCAATTGGTAGAGGTGCCACGTGACATTTTATTTTATTTTTTAAAAAATCGAGTTAGCGATGGATTAGCGGCGGAATTCAAAATTCCGTCGCTAATTAATTAGCGACAGAGGAATTAGCGACGGAAAAAATTCCATCGCTAAAACCATGTTTTTTTGTAGTGATTAGCAACATGATGACGATGACAATGACGACGACGACAATGATGATGATGATGATGATTCCTTACGAAGGATTAATGAAGCTCTTTTATTTACTCATTACACAGTACCATACATCTAGACGTCTTTAACTAGAGACATGACTGCCATCTTTTGCTGTTGCTGGTGGTGGTGGTGATTGGGGTGGTATGTACAGCAACTGTATGGGTGGTAGTGGCGGTGGCAGCGGCTGCCTGATGTGTGGTAGTACGATTGCAAAACCGGGAGAGATGAGAACCAAAATGGCAAGAAGGAGGAGGAAGAAGGGCAATGGTGAAGCCATTATGTAAGGAGCTTTGTGATTGTGTTTGGCGCAGGGAAAGAGCAGAGTGAGATTGGTTTATATAGGCTTTGGCTAACTAGCCCATGCCATAACAAGGCCATTTGTTACATCATCACATTAATTATTGTATTTCGTATGTTACTGTATATGTAAAATGCTCAGCGGGGTGCAGCAAACAAACATATATTCTACAATATATACATGACCATTCCAATAACTTCATAATCCACTAGGGTTATGAATTAGTGCCATGTTTGAATGGGTTCGTGTTACCCAAAAATATCGTGGTCCTAAAAGCATTATAGTACGGTGTTAGTTCACAGGCCACGCATTTGGATTAGATAGAGTTACTGCTTAACGGTCCGTTTGGATTAGCAGTAAAAATTGAATTAGGTAAAAGTTGTTTGAATTATGATTGAATAAATAAGTTTAGTTTGTAAAATTATTAAAATGGGTATGATTTTTATTAAAATAAAAAATGAAAATAAATTCACATAATGTAAAAAATTTAAATTACTTTAATAGAAAGAAGTGAAATTTAAGACCAAAATATATTATTAAAAAAATTTATAAATTCACATAATGTAAAAAATTTAAATTACTTTAATAGAAAGAAGTGAAATTTAAGACCAAAATATATTATAAAAAAATTTTGTACCCAATCGTGCTTAACAGTTTCACCAAAAGTAAGTTTCCGCTGCTTATGCCTAATCGTGCTTCTGATGTTACTTTTTGCCTATGAGTAAAATTAACAAAATGCTCAACCAAACATGTTTTAAATTTGTAATCATGCTTATGAGACTTATAAGCCACTTTTGGCCTCTTGAACGCCTAGCCAAACAGGCTCAACATTCAGCTAAGATGAGTAGATGACGCTGTTTGGAATGGAATCAGTTTGGGTCCCCTTTGGATCATCCAAATCTAATCTGGATAATCCATATTTAATATTTTTAAATAAAAATATATTTAAAAAAAGTAATAATTAGGATGTGATTTTTATTTTAGATTTTATAGCCATTAAAATAATTATTTTAAAAAACAAAAATAAAAAAATTATGACCATCCAGATTTGATCTGGACACATGAGATAAGTTTTGGATGTTCATTTCCAAGATGATTGCCACCCAAACCAGTCCTGCTTCAAATATATGCTTATAATGATTCAAGAAATTTTTATTGAGACAAGGACATTCATTCCGAAAATGGAAAATTACATTGAACAAATCATGTCTGAGGATGGCAATGGAATCGTAGGGTGGCCTCTAACAAATATCAAACCTAGCTACATTCAAATACCAAAAGTTTCCTTGGCCTCTAGCATAACAATCAAATTATAATAACGTTATTATGAAAATAAATAATAGTTTATATGCATCAATTAACTTTTCGCATATTTAAAATACATAATGTTTGACTAAGTAAATATATTTTTAAAAGTATGAGAATAAGAGTAGAAAATCTGTTACTCCCTCATGTCACTACAAAAAAAAAAAACAGCTAATTACCGGCCGAAATAATTCCGTCACTAATTTCTGACGCATTACTGACAAAAATTCTGTCGCTAAATTTAGCCACAGAATTAGCGACAGAATTTTTTCTGTCAAAAATTTTCGTGGTTAATTTTGTGATTAAAATTTTACAATTAAAATTCGTCACGGAATTTTTTCCATTAGAAATTTCTGTGGCTAATTCCGTGCCTAAAATTTTATAATTAAAATTAGCCACGGAATTTTTTCCATCAAAAATTTTTGTGGCTAATTCTGTGGCTAAAATTTTATAATTAAAATTTGCGACGGAAAAATTTTTTGTCGCTAATTTAGTGACGAAAAATTATTCCTTCGCTAATTTCGTGGCTCAAGTAAAATTAGCCACGGAATATTTTCCGTCCAAAATTTCAGTCGCTAATTCTGTGGCTAAAATTTTATAATTAAAATTATTTAATTTTTTTATATAGAATAATCTATTAGATTTTATTATGGTAGCTATTTTTTTAAAAATTATTTACGATTTAAAATTCAAAATTAGTGTCATTGGAAATTAATATTATATTAAAAATATTTTTTTAAAAAATAAAACATTATAAAATAAATAGTGAAACAAATATCTAAAAATTATTTTGTCACAAAAATAGTTATGATTAAAATTATCATATAGTTTATTTTTAGTTCTAATAATATATATGTGTATATATAATTGTTTGTGTAACAGAATATTATACATATTTAATTTTGCATGATAAGTCAGCAAATTCATTACAGCTCAACTAGTGAAGCCGTGCACACGCACAAACGAGATCCTTGGTTCAAGTCGTGGAGAAGTCACTTTGGAGAGGATTATATGGTAGCAACACATGGCGATACAAAGTGGGATGTGAGATGGTGACACATGGCTGCGGAAGTGAGGTGGCAGTGACGTGTGGAGATGAGGTGGCAACACATGACAAAGGAGATGAGGTGGCAGTTGGAAGAGGTAACACGTGGCATTTTAATTTTTTTAAAAAACATATTAATTACCGACAGAAATTCCGTCGCTAATCACATGTTTTTTGGTAGTGTATCCTTTCTATGATATTTGAATTTTTGAATTGATCCGGTTCCTATTATAAGATTCACTACTATACATATATGACTGAAACTTTTGTTCAAATTTTTCTTTCCAAAGGGGTATCCTGCTAGCAGTCTGGGACAAGATCAGTGATGGATGAGTGCATTTGAGAGTTGAGATGATAACAAAACGTCATATATAATTCACAACGATTCTGCTAAAAACGAAAACTTAATTTCATTCACGAATGATTCACAAAAAGAAAAAAGAGAGCTCTTCAACAAAACTAAGCAGAATGTCCATCTGAATGAAGTTGTTCAAACTTTCTTAACTCTAAAAGCAAAATACACCACAAAACATGAAACACACCCATACACATATATATAGTTGCAATCCAAAGCAAGCTATCACTTACAATTATTAAATATACCAGCTCCATATAGCGGAGAAGTGTCATAAGAGCTATCCACTAATTCATATGACAATGTTCAAAGTGGATAGTTTTTGCTTAATTGCAAGCAACTCTGCTAAAACATCTTTGATATCCATTCTTTCACCAGGCAATCCTGCACAGCATGCCACACCAATCCTAGCAAAGCTAGCTAGAGACTCTTGAATTTGGCGTTCCATATTTGAATTCCGCATAACTTTCCTATGGTCTCATTCAGATAGAACAAGAAAATTTGGATCCACAATCTCAAGGACTCCATCTGGTAATGCTAGCTTGCAGAATTTGGGTAGACTTAGATCCTCACGAAACATTTTATCTGCTAGCTTCTTTCCAGTGAGCATCTCTAGCATAAGAATCCCATAGCTGTAGATGTCCCCTTTTGTTGTAACTTGGCCACTTTCACCGTACTCTAACCACGCATTAATATTCTTTAGAGAATATAAAAGTCCATGTGATAGTTGAAGTTATTTTTAGGTAAAAATAGACCATTTTAAAAACTTTTTAATGATACACAAAATTTTTAGTTAGTCTTAAAGTTTAGCACACTCAAGCTGTAGTTTCTATTAATTAATGATGACTAGAAAATAAATAAAGTTCATATTGGAGAATATAAAAACAACAACATATGAAGAGTCATACCTGGAGGAATATAGCCTATTGTTCCCTTAATTGCTGAAGGTGTAGTTTGGTTCTCTCCAGAGTAGCTTGTAACTTCATGAAGAAGCCTAGCCAATCCAAAGTCTCCTAAGTGTGCGACCATATCATCACTAAGAAGAACATTACTTGGCTTGATATCGCAATGAACAATAGGTTCCTCAAAACCATGATGAAGATAATCCAAGGCATGAGCAACATCAATAGCTACATCCAATCTTTGTCTAAAATTCATCTATAAATCTCTACGTTCACCAAGTTCATTCACTGATAACCAATTCTCCAAGCTCCCATTAGGGATGAACTCAAATACAAGGGCCTTAAAATCATTGCCTTTGTAATCAACACTTGAACATGTAGTTAGAATCTTCAAAAGATTCCTATGATGGACTTTACTAATAGTTTTGCATTCTGTCATGAAACTTTTTGTTGTCCCATGTGCTTGCAAATTTAGCACCTTTACAGCAATAAAACTCTCAAAGTGCTGAAGAGTTCCTTTATATATAGAACCAAAGCTTCCTACACCAACCAAATTGGATGATGAAAATCCATTAGTTGCATCATGCAACTCTTTATAAGAAATCCTCAACTGAGCATTTGGTGGGGAAGATGTGGAAGAAGACAACTTTTTATGTTTGCTTCTCATGCAAATGATTAGGCAAATTGCAAAACAAGCAAGAGCACCACTGCTTATCACAATGATAAGGATTATAACTTTGAAATGCTTCTTAGACTTACTTGGGCATTTAGGCAGCTTTAATTGAGGTATTCCACCACAAAGCTTCTCATTTCCCGCGAGTAAAATAGCTGTGATGTTATCGAATACTCCTCCTTTTGGAACCTCACCATAAAAATGGTTGTGGGATAGGTTCAAAGTCTCCAATATTGGAAAATCTTTTAGTTGTCGAGGGATTGTGCCTGACAAGTTATTATTGGAAAGGTCTAATCTGATGAGGGATTTTAATGAACTAAAGGATGAGGGGATACTTCCTTGAAGGAAGTTCCCGCTCATATCAAGATCTGTTAATTCTAAGCATTCCCCAAGTTCGGTCGGAATATCACCATAAAAATTGTTTTCACTCATATATAATCTCACTAATTGCGTCATGTTACCAATCACAGAAGGAATGGGACCAATCAAGGAATTGGAAGACATGTAAAGATATATTAAGCTTTCTAGATGACCAAAAGTCAGATTTGGTATGGTGCAGCTGAAGTTATTTTGATCCATGTACAAGAATTGCAAACCTTTACAATGTTTCAGGCTTACTGGAATTGTTCCCTCAAAATTATTGTCATACAATGAAAGGACAATCAACTTAGTAAGATTTTCAAAGATATCAGGAATTCTACCAGCTAATTGATTTTGGTGTAGGTATAGCTTTCCAAGATTTTCAAGCTTTCCAATAGAATGTGGAATTGTTCCTTGAAGAGAGTTACCTTTGAAACTAAGGGTAAGTAATCCGTCTAATTGACCAATCTCATTAGGTATGCTTCCAAAGATATGATTGAAATTCAAATAAAGCATTTCAAGCTGGGAAGAGAGATTCCCAATTGAATTAGGCAATACACCACTAAAATTATTTTCTGACACCACCATTGAATGCAATTGACTACAATTTGTCAAGGATGAGAGGAAATCTAGGTCATGACCTTTTTCAATCCCAAAATTATTTGTGTAAATCACAAAATCCTTAAGGTTCTGTAGTCTTCCCAAAGAGGTAGGGACTAGGCCACTGAAAGCATTTTCATATATTGCAAATAATTGCAATTGAGAGATGTTGGATAATGAAGCTCGAATAGTTCCCATCAACATGTTGTGTCCTCCATTAAACCCTCGAAGATTTGGGAAAGCAAGGCCAATATTTGATTGAATAGTTCCAGACAAGGAGTTGAAAGGAAAATCTAAAAATTCCATGCGAGAAAGATTGTAAAGTGAAGACGGGATTATACCAGAAAGATTATTGGCACCAAGATAGAGCAACCGCAAATTTGAAAGCCCTCCTAGGGATTGAGGTATACTTCCTTCCAAATTATTATATGAAAGAGCCAACCACTCCAAGGATGAAAGATTTCCCAAGAAAGGTGGAATATTCCCATGAAATTTATTATCACTGAGTCTCAACTCTATAAGTTGTCGCATAGATCCAAACCATGGGGGAATTTCACCGATCAAATTATTGTAACAGAAGAAAATCTGCATGAGTTTAGAACAGTTGGCCAACTCTGTAGGCACTTCTTCCTCAAGATGATTTTTACTCCAATCAAGAAACTGCAGTCGTCTTAGATGGGCAATTTGTTTGGGAACTTGATCATGCAATTCATTATACGAAAGATTGAGTAGTTTAAGAAATGTTAGGTTACCTAATACTGGTGCAACAATGCCTCTAAAATTTTGATTTGTCAAGTTCAAAGCTGAGACTCTCATGTGATGATAACTGCATGTAACGCCTTGCCATTTGCAGAAATGGATAGAATCATTCCATGAAGGTAGAGCTTTTGGAGCACCATTGGTGAACTTATCCTTGAGAGAAAGCAAAGCAAGCCTGTCAGTCTCCGAGCTAGTGGCCATGGCAGCTATAGTTTGCAAAAGAACCTGAGAAGCTATGCATAACAGGAAATTGGTGGTGATAATGCAGGGGATCATTTTGATTGTGGTAAAGGAATCTGCAAAATGAAGCCACATACTCAGCAACTAGGCGTGGGGTGATAGCTTTATACTAGTTATCATAGGCATTGACAGCGAAACCTCAAGTCTCCAAAGTTGGTAAAATTAAATTCCACTCGAAAAGTAGCTTTATATTAATTTGATGGGAGAATGTTATTAATTGTTGACCATATAAAGAAACGAACACAGAATGTAAACTTGTAAGTTATGAGTATAAAATTTTAAATAGTAAATCTGAAAATTTTAAGTAATATTTTATTAAACTCGCTTCAGTTGTTTAATCAGTTAATTTTAATGTCGCACTTTATTTGAAATAAAAAATTTAACCTATTTCAGATAAAACTTGAGCACAGTTGATAAAATATTTTGTTATGTTTGTATTATTTTGTTAAATTTTCAATTCAACGATCATTTTATAAACATTTATTATTAAATCTTTATATTTTGAGTAACTGATAATTGATATTTAGCTCTTGTAATATTTATTATGCAAATTTAAATTTGAGTTAATTTAATTTCATTACTTGCAAAAAATAAGTTAATAAATATTCAAAATCTTTTAAATAAATAAGGAACTAAAAAATCATAAATATAACATTTTAATTTTATATTTCAAATCAACCGCACATAAAAGAAAATTTATAATTTAATTCCTAATGCACTCCGTAACCACTTCCATGTGCTGTGGACCAGACAATTTTTCCAGAGACTGCCTCTCTCCTTTGCCATTAACATCCATACAGTTGACACTTTATAATTAAAACACTGCCCAGAAAAAAAAAAGAAAAATAAATTCACATTTTAATAAAATGCAGATATCCACATTATGATCCAAAAAAAGGCAAGGACATTGATTCGTTGGCAAAAAAGAAAAAAAGGATATTGATTTAATGTGGTTCACCCATTCTTCTATCCACACGTAGAAGAGGACCACGCACGCTATTAATGTTTCTTACAATATAAAATATAAACAATCACACATGTGACAATCAAACTTTATATTTATCAATCACACTTGAAAATTCTTATCATTTTGTAGTTCATACAATTTCACAATTCATACTAATGGAAGATTTATTACTCCAATCAAGATCCCATAAATAATCAGATATATCACATAAATAGCATGGGCAAAATTATCCATGATACTAGAACTGCATCCACACAGTCCACAGTCCACACTTTATAATTAAAATACTGCAAAAAAGTGAAAAATTTCACAGATATATATTTTCGTTGGCCCCAAAAAAAGAAACAGGATATTGCTTCAATGTGATTCACCCGTTCGCCTATCCACACGTACTCGGGGGCCACCATTACTGCTTTGTACCATATCAAATACAAACATTCAAAAAACAAGGAGGGAAAATGACTTCCTATCAATGATTTTAAACCTGGACCCCCGCTGGCCGGAGTTTCAACTAGCTCGTGTTTTCTGGTAAAAAAACCGTTTTATCGGTTGAATCGTGTTAAGTCTGCAAGAACTGGTTTTTGATCCAGAAACTGGTGTCAAGCGGGAACCGGAGCGAGTTTTGAGAAACCAACCGGCCCATGAGAGTTTAGTTACACTTAAAAAAAAACAAGAAGGGAAAAGAATGGAAGGGAGTGAAAAAAAACGTCATGCATGCCTTTATAATTAACTACATGTATAGTAAAATTTACCATTCACGTAATGGGATTTACCAAAAACCAGCAGGCATATGACAGCAGTTACGTTACGTAATTGCTTGCCATTGTTTTCTGATTTCCGCTTCATCTTTCCCACAGGTTCACTCCCTCTCTCACTACAAATCCTCTTTCCCACAACCAAAACCCACCAAATCAACAATCTCTACAGAATGGTGATGCGAAGGAGTAAGATAATAGCATTTCCAACATTCTTCTTTCCTTCTTCCCGCATTTCATCAGCGTCGGTCTTCCACTCTCCTTTCTCTCACTTTCAGACAGGGCATTTTGGTCTTTTGGCCAAAAATATGAATTCCAGATTGGTACCCAGTCCCCTATATGTCATTTTGCTTATTCAGGTGTCTTATTTGTCTTTTTGAAATTCAAGTGGTATTTTGTTGTCATTTTCCCTTAATTTTTTTCAAGTTGAAAAACTCTGTATTTTTTAACTTAAACCCTACCATGGTCTCTTTTTTTAAAAAAAATTTTCATTATTTTTTGTTTTTCATTCTTCTTATTTTAAGTGTATTTACATATTATTTATTTTATTACCTAAAATAAAATTATTAATACAAAATTAAACATACGTGTTTTCGTTATATTATATTATCAATAATTTGTGAATTGTAAGATATATTATTATATAAATTGGTAAATTTATCATGAGATTGAATTATTTAAGTTTGTTTTTAAATCATTTCATAACTTAATATTTTATTTTTATATATATTATTAGATAAGTATATAATATTAATTTTTATTTAATTATTTTATTACCGGTCCAACCGTGTGAACCATAAACCGTTAGCCTTTTTAGTTTAATGTCTAGTCCGGCTTTTAAAACATTGCTTCCTATATATATATATATATATATATATATTTGGGGTCATAGGAAGTTCCTATGTACTAGTTTTTGTAACTGAGTCGGATTGAATTAGAATTGATCTGCTACTGAGATGAAACTTAGAGTTAGATTGGAATGGCTTTTAGAAAACCAAACAGTTAGGGCTTGATAGAAAATATGGTTAGAAATCTTTTTAAAAAATCTATAAAGTTGATACTCTCAAAAAGCCTAATATATTTTTAAATCATTTGTAGCCATATTGTCACTATTGTGTGATTTTTTTTTTTTGCCAAGTCATACGGTTTGATTTTATTAAAAACTTCCTATATTGTAATGTAATTCTATTGATTTTTTTCCCAAACAAAGGCTTCACATGTCAACGTTGACAGTGAACACAAACGTCTAAGATTATTCAAGGGTGGGATCACAAGACATGGTCCCATGTATGATTAGGATACCTTTGTTTTTTTTTTAAAAAAGACAAAATGATTACTAAAAGATATCTAGTTTAGATACAATAAGCAGCAAAAACAGAAACAAAACCAAAATCTAAAGCTGTAAACGAATTCAAAGAAAGACAATCCAAAGCGACATCATGAAACAAGGAAAGGAGCTTCCGAATGTGTTGAATCACAAGTAGTTTACCAACACACCGAATATTGAGCCTTGTTAATTGGAGAATCTGCTTTTCTTACCACTCCAATAACCATAGAATGATTCCACGTAGGCACTTGTGGTAAAAGAAATGGTCTTCACCAGAAGCTTTCCTCTCCATTGTATGGTGAAAGAGACACTATTCTAGTACAACAAAATACCACAGTGGTGAGTGCCCATTGAATTCTTTTTCGATTTACAAAGGAAGATCCTCTAATCATGAGACCAATCTGAGTCATGCTGAGGTCTCAGTTGAGGAGTCATCTGTCGTGAATCGTCCACACTACATAAGGCCATATTGTTAAAACTTAAAGAAGCTTTAATTTCCTGAATGACCTTAAGTGGATCTACTTTGCCACCTTCATGGAGAATAAGATCTCTCTTTTGCCAAATGATATTCAGGAGTATAAATATTTTTATCAAAGGAAAGCTGCACTCATTTTCAATCGATTCCTAAAATCATCAAAATTGAGATGTTCAATCTGAATAGAGAAGGCACCATACCATATCGCTATGGTTAAAGGGCAGGAGAATATATGCTCCAAAGTCTCCTCCTTGATGCAGCCAAATTGACACAATCCTGAAGCTTGGATATGATGCTTCTTTAAGATCTCAATCAGAGGAACAGCTTTATTTAAGAGCTTCCAAATAAAAAGTAATTGCTTGTAATTAAGGAAGTGACAGAGCCCATAGAAATTTCCAAAAGTTATCTTCCGAGAGGTGGTTCAAGGGCATCTCTTGAGTAAGGAGATGGTATCCATCTTTGACCGTGTAGGAACCCAAACCATTTCCTTTCCAGATCAACCTCTCAGGGGAATTTACCAAAGAGATAGGAATATTGCAAATTTGGTCGGCAACTGGTTGCGAGTACAATTCAGAAATTACCATATTGTTCCAACAAACTGGTTTCCAAGGACAATTGGCATGCATTAAAAGGTTTGACACTCTCTGATAAAGAGAAGGAATGCTAAACCTAACTCGCATTCGCCACCAAAGGTAGTGATTGAGAGCAATAGGATCACCATAGCCTATAATCCAGTTTAGCTTTCCTTGCAACAAATTCAAATTCTTGGCAATGCCCCTTCATATCCAGGATGAATTGTAAGGTATTTTAATAATACCAAGAGAAGACAAGTCAATGTATTTCACCTGTAGAGTAGAAGCAAGTAGTGATACTGTTGGAGCAGAAAGTATTCTCCACTAATGTTTGGTTAAGAGAGGTTTGTTATTAGCCTAATTCCAAGCCTTCCCTTGCACTTGGGAAGAAATAAATTATCCTGTTTCAGTAAATGAATTCTATTCTTGTTCCTATCAGTTCCCCAAAAGAAGTTTAGACATTTGCTGTCCGTTGAATTGCAAACCGAAATAGGAAGGCTCATACAAGACATCACATGAATGTTGATAGAAGAGATGACAGATCTGATGAACATGAGCCTTGAAGCTTGAGAGAGTAATTTTCTTTGCCATGACTTGATTTTGTTTTCCAGTTTAATGGACACTTGATTTTATAACACTGATTTGCTCTTTCTTGGATCTATCCATGTACCTAAGTATTTGCCAATCCTCTGTGAGAAATGAACACTTAGAATATTTGACAACTCCAATTTTTGCCCAAGCGAGAGTTCGGACTACAGATCAGAGTAGGTTTGTTCTATTGATCTTTTGAGCTGACCAATGGCAGTACTTATCAAGGGCCATCTGAACAGTATTGCAGTTTTGAACTTTACCCTCAGAGAAGAAT